ATAAGTCTAGGTTTGCTATTTGCTATTGTTATGTGAGCCACACGTTCATTAAACAAATCTGGATCCCCCCGCCCCCCTACTGACTCTGCTTATCAAAGTCAACTCCGACAGCAGCAAATGATAACAACAAGATCCCGGGATCCTACAACCATCAAAACTTCATTATGATTCCCAAACACTCAAAAAGTTTCATCCCATGAGTCTGGGGCACTGCATTGATCATAAATATGAACCAGTTGTCAAGCATCCAAATTTTGATCATGTGACCCTGATGCTGAAACTGTTGTAAGTGTGGAAAAAACAATCTTGTGTGAAAAACAGTCATAAGTCACTTTTTTCAGGGTTGTTGTGACTGCAAACAGTCATTAAATGAACTGTTGTAAGTTAAGGACTAACTGTAGTCTATCCCAGTGGTCTCCAACCTTGGCAACTTGAAGACTTGTGGACTTCAACTCCCAGAGCAAAGCTGGCTGAGGAACTCTGGGAGTTGAAGTCCACAGGTCTTAAAGTTGCCAAGGTTGGAGACCACTGGTCTAACCTGTTAACTCTATAAAGCAGTGTCTCTATAAAGGGGTGTCAAATTCAAGGCCCTGACCTGCAGTGTGCTTAAATCTGGTCCCTGGGACCGTCCGGGAAATGTCAAAGGACCAGCCTGCGGTTCCTTTACCGGCCAAAACAGGCCACCGGGGGGAAGGGGCTGCATGTGGTCCCTGCATGGCGCGTTTTCCACCTCCACAGCCTCCTGCAACAAACTGCTGGCCAAAATGGGCCACACGAAGACCCCTCAGCAGGGCGCTGCAGGAGGTGTCCGTGTCGTCCTCCGCTCCGTAGCCTCCCCCCCCTCGCTGGCCCACAGAGGAGAACTACAATGCTGATCCAACCCTTGAAGAAATTCAGTTCGACACCCCTGCTATAAAGAAATGATCATCTACCAAGAAGATTGTTACTTGAACACCCAAACCCTGATATTCCAGGGCTGCAAGCCATAGCATCCTTTCCTGGCTAGATTGGAAAGTTTCCACCTGGAATGAAGAGGCCCTACAGGTAAAGACATAGCGGCTAAGACGCTGAGCTTGTCGATCAGAAAGGTCGGTGGTTTGGCGGTTCGAATCCCTAGCGCCACGTTAACGAAGTGAGCTCCCGTGACTTGTCCCAGCTTCTGCCAACCTAGCAGTTCGAAAACACGTACAAAATGCAAGTAGAAAAATAGGGACCATCTTTGGTGGGAAGGGAACAGCGTTCCGTGTGCCTTCGGCGTTGAATCATGCTGGCCACAGGACCACGGAGATGTCTTGGGACAGCGCTGGCTCTTCGGGTTTGAAACGGAGATGAGCACCGCCCCCTAGAGTCGGGAATGAATAGCACATATGTGCAAAGGGAACCTTTACCTTACAGGTAAAGAACATTCCAATCGTATAGAGATATTTCTGTGAATCTGCAACTTGATTCTGGGGGTTTTTTTTGTGTGTCTGGTAGGCACAGCTGGTACCCATTATAAATTCTTGCTTCCCTAATTAAGGTGGAAACATGTTGATATTGTGATGTGTTGTGAAAAACCTCCAACATGGAACGTTAACAAAAGCGGAAATCAGAAGCACTTGGCTAACTGGGCAGCTTGCTTTGAATTTCTTAGGGAAAGAATTGTGGCTTTTAAATGCATGTGAAAAGAATCAGATTCTTCGGCGGTTTGTCTGATTGCAACAATTAGTTTCTTTGCAATGGTAATTCACAACTGGTTCCTTTTCCCTTCCCACCCACTGCCAGGAGAGAAAGCGCTCAGTTAATTTTGAAAAACACGGCACAGCGTTGCTGAAAAAATGCTTTATTCTGTTAAAACATTGCTACCTTATCCGTCCCTTTTTTAAGCAACCAGATTTATTTATTTTTTTGCTATTTGCAACCAAGTTTCACTGAGACTCATTCTTGGGGGGGGGGGGGCAGTAGTTAGGATTGTGGCAATATGGCATGCTTCTGATCTTGCTAATTTTGAATACATTTAATCTTCTGCTTATACTGAATTTAGTGACCATTCAAAGTTATAATGGCAATGAAAAAAAGTGACTTATGACCAGTGGTGAAATTCAATTT